TATTTTATTATTTATGAGTGTATTGCCTGTGTGCATGTAAGTGCACCTGTGTTGTGCAGTGCCTTGGAGGTCAGAAGAGGGCATCACATTCCTTGGAAATGGAGTTAGGAACAGTTGTTAACTGCCATGTGGGTGCTGGGAATTGAACCGAGGTCCTGTGCAAGAGCAGCCAGTGCTCTTAAGTGGCTGAGCCATCTCTCTAGCCCCCTAAAATGCTCACTTTTAAAGTAAATATTTTTAGTAGCTTTTCTTCAAAAATACATAGCTTTACTCCTTTATATTAACATATAAATGTGCGTTATTCAGTTTATTTAGTTGAAGTGTTTACTAAGCCTGTTACTTTCTAGTATTTTTAAGTTTCTTCCTGTTTCTTTTTTCTTTTTCTTTTCTTTTCGGTGTTAGGGATTGAACCCACAGGTTTTACACATGCTAGAAATCATTATACCACCAAGCTACATTCCTAGCCCCAAGTGTCTTAATCATTTTGTTTCTTGGCATTATTTATAGAAACTTTGAATTCAGTTTTTGCTTGATTACAATTATTTTCTCTTTATTCATTACCCCCACCCCCATTTTTTAGGTATTATTAAGGCTAAATGCTTTATTTTTACTAGTGCTACCTTTTTTTACATTTATTTTGTGGAGCCATTTAATGCTTGCCCAATTAGAAAAAAAACTTTGTTCTCTTAAGAATTACAAGGGCTAGGAATGTTAGCTCATTGATAGAGTTCTTACATAGCGTGAATGAGGCCCTGGGCTTTACCCCAGTTTCATAGCAACAAAATTTCCACGAAATTCAGTGTCTTCACTTTTGAATTATTATAATGAAAAATGTACATCGGTCCAAAGTCAGTGTTACAAAGAACTCTTCCAGTACAGTTGTAAGACAGGCCACATGAACTCTTTTTCATGCGCTATCAGGTAACTCAAGTGCAAATACAGGCTGAACACCCTGATCCAGAATTCTGAAGTCCAGACGCTAGAACTTTTTGATTGTCATGCCAGCACTCAAAAAGGTTTTTGAAATTCTGGTTTCAGATTTCAGTTTAGGGTGTTCAGTTGGCAAATACTGTACAAATATTACCAAGTAAGAAAATCTCTGAAACCTGCAATTCTCTTGGTTCTCAGCAGTTTGGATAAGGGGAACTTCATGTCTGTTACCACACACTGGCATTGTAGCCACTAATAGAGCTGAGAAATTCCAGATTATTGGGAGCCTTTGAAATTATGATTTATTTTGAGATGGGGTCTTATATTGCCAGGCTGGCCTTGAGCTTCTGCAGCAAAAAGATCCTCTTTGCCTCAGCCTCCAAGTAGCTGAGATTCTAGATCTATCTACCACATCCAGCTCAGTACATTTAGTTAAGTCAGTTTGTTAGCGATGTGGAAGGGCAAATCTAGGGCCTCATACGTGCTAGGCAAGCAGTCTGCCACTGAGCTACACTCCAGTGTCTCCATTTTTAAAAAAAGCATATTATTTTTATTATATGTGTATGCGTGTGTTGCCTGCATGTAGGTAAGTGCACCCATGTCATGTAATGCCCGCGGAGGACAGAAGAGGCTGTCGCATCCCCTGGAACTGGAGTTATGGACAGTTATTAGCTGCCATGTGGGTGCTGGGATTTAAACCTGGGTCTTCTACAAGAACAAACAGTGTTCTTAACTGCTAAGCCATCTCTCCAGCCCCGAGTGTCCCCACTTTTAATCAAATTTCAATCTATAGCATACCCAAAATAACACTAATAGCTCACACTGAGTATTGCAGTCTAATCATCTTCTAATCTTGTTTATGTGCTATCATTCACTTACTGGGTTTGTATAAGAACCTTTTGACATACCTATTATCATTTTACAGATGGAAAAATGAGGCCCAGAAAAATTTGTGTGCCTTAAGATTATAGACATGCTTAGGAGAGTTAGAGGTACTTTTATTTTTTTATTTTTATTTTTTTTTGTCTTTTTGAGACAGGGTCTCCCTGTAGCCCCAGCTGTCCTGGAACTCACTGTGTAGACCAGGCTGGCCTTGAACTCACAGAGATCTGCCTGCCTCTGCCTCCCAAGTGCTGGTACTACAGGCGTGCGCCACCATGCCCGGCTGAGGTACTATTTATTAAAAAAACAGCTATAGACTTTGATGCATATATACTGGACTTGTAGGCTTTGAAACACCTAACCTTCCATAATAATCACTGTATTAGCTGGGCGTGGTGGCACACGCCTGTAGTCCCAGCACTTGGGAGGCAGAGGCAGGCAGATCTCTGTGAGCTCAAGGCCAGCCTGGTCTACATAGTGAGTTCCAGAATAGCTGGGGCTACAGGGAGACCCTGTCTCAAAAAACAAAACAAAAAAAATCATTGTATTAATTTATAAATTGAAGATAACCTTGCATCGTAGGACTAGAGAGATTAAATGAGGTAATATGGCTAGTTTTTATTATTAAGAATCATGTTGGGCCAGTCAGATGGTGTAGTGGGTTTGCCATCAAGCCTGACAACCCAAGTTCAGTCTCTGGGACCCACTTGGTAGAAGGAGAAAACCGACCCCTGAAAGTTGCTCTTGGGCCTCCCGACAGGCACCACCTCCCATACATACACACATACAAAATAAGTACTTGTAAACATTAAAAAAGAATGCCATTTGTGAATGAGGGAAACATCCTGCAGTATAAGCAAAGGTGATAATATAGGAAGACACTGGTGCTAGCTCATGAAGCTGACTTTCCTTTCTTCCTGCTTCTTGAAGCAGAATAGCCTAAATAAACTTGTGGAGATAAGACAGGGAAGTGAGGCTTTCAGACAGAACACAGGTAGGGCATTTCATTTACCTTGGTATTGCATAAAACCTGAGGTAAAGAATAAAGACAGATGTGTCTTTTCTCAAAGCTTTGGAAGCTGAATGAGGGGCCTTTGCTGGTAGAATCTTTAGAATCCTTTTGGAATGTGATACCTTGTTTGCTTTGTGGTTAGAGGGTCGATTCAGCTCTGCTTATTTAGTAGAGAGGAAATGAACCAGAGGCAGGATTCATATAGGCTGTTCTCCCATGTTCCATCCACCTTGACATATTTGGTGCTTGATTTTCCTGAATCTTCTGTTAGCTGCTGTTTTTCCACTCAGTAGATGCTTGTAGTCTGACCAGGCTGGAGATACCAACAATCTCTAGATAGGCTGACTGGACTGCAGTGGATGAATTTGCACTGAAGGACATCTGGGTACAAATGCTTGACTGGACACAGACTTAGCATCTATAGCGGAATACATGAGGTCTGTGGGGGGGGGCAAGGGTGGAGGAGGGGGTCTAAATTTGATTAAGAACTGTTGTATGAAATAATGCAAAAGCTCAGTTAAAAGAAACAACAAAGGGAATTCAGTAACTTCTATTGAGCACTGAGCTAACTTTAACAAGGTAATGAAAAAGGAAATACATTGGGCCGTAAATATAATTTCAGGAACTAAGTAACTAAACTTAGTCTAGGTTTCTTTTTTTTTTTTTTTTAAATTTTGTTTATTATTCTTATTTTATGTGTATGTGTGTATTGCCTGCATGTAGGTAAGTGCACCCGTGTCATGCAATGCCCGTGGAGGTCAGAAGAGGCTGTCAGATCCCCTGGGACTGGAGTTATGGACAGTTGTTAGCTGCTATGTGGGTTCTGGGATTCGAATCCGGGTCTTCTGCAAGAACAATCAATGTTCTTAACTGCTGAGCCATCTCTCCAGCCCCTAGTCTTAATTTAATAGGCTGATATATAAAAATATTAGTTATGGCTGGGAACTGAATCATTGTCCTAAAAAATCACCTTGGCAAGTAAATACAGATCAACACAGAAAAAAAAAAAAAAAAAGCCTCAAAACCCATGTAACTCAGAGGAGTCGAAAAGACAGTTGTAGGAGACCTATTGTGGAAATACTTGGAAGCAAAGCTAGAAAAATAGTAA